TCAAAAGAAAGATCTCCTATTAAGCAGGGTATAGTAAAAGAACCTGGATCCTTAAGCTTCTCTGGTAGATCCCTCCTAATCACAGCTAAGCAGTCCATGTTAAGCCTCACAGTGGACGCTTCTTCCAGCTTCCTCTTGTTTGTCAGTAGATCCTTCATGAACTTTGTGTACTTCGGCATTTGTGCTAGTGCATCCACGAATGGTATGTTGAGCTGAATTTGTTTCATGTGTTTCAGAAAATGACCAAACTGGTCACTATCATTTTTCCTTGTCAATCGTGCCAGATAAGGGAGAGGTGGGGTGTAATTTTTTACTAGAACGGGCTGTTTTGGTGCAGCCGCCACCTCTCTTTCCTCAACTTTCTCCTTTTCTTCTTCCCGGGCAGCAGGTACGTCTTTAACTTCAACGGGCTTCTTTGTCGTGGCAGCAGGTTCTAGCTCTTTTCCACTCCTCAAGGTGACCGCATGAACATGTTCTCTTGGGTTAGGCTCGGTTTTTCTAGGGAGGGATCCCAGAGGCCTCTCAGATAAAGCCTTAAAGATCTGCCCCAATTGCGTCTCCATCCTAGAGAATCTTTGCTCAGTCTCTTTTCTAAAGTTTCCTTGCACTGGCTGAGGTGTTTGTTGTTGGCCTTGAGGTGCTTGGGGCTGATTAAAGTTTCTAGACTGCTGCTGCTGATTTCCTTGCCCGTAATTTCCTTGTTGCTGCTATCCGTAGGGCTGATTGTAGTAGCCATGTCGCTGATAATACACCGCATCCACTTGCTCTACTCCAGGGACTGCCAAGTGTGCCATCATAGTGCATTCATGTGGCGCATGGAGTCCCCCACATATAGTACAAGAGGGACTAATAGGACCGGGGGCTACCATATTAACACTGGGCACCGAGAGAGCAAGATCTGTCTTCTTATGATTATCCACCACAGTAGTAGCTAGCTTCTGAATCATGCTAGTCAAAGCATCTACCCTCGCAGAAAGGGCGGAACTGTCACTGATCTCATACAAACTCGGGGCCTTCTGGTGAGGTGTGTCCCGAGAGTTGTACCATGAAGCGTTATTCGACACGATCTTCTCAACTAGTTCTTCCGCAACCTCAGATGGTTATTGAGGAAAAGCTCCTCCACCCGAAGCATCAAGCATCATCTTCCCTTCATTGTTGATTCCGCTATAGAAGCAGAATAGAATCTCACTATCGGTCATCTTGCCTTGAGGGCAAGCTCTTCGCAACACTTTAAATCTCTTCCATGCTTTAGCTAATGTCTCTAACGAGCCTTGCTTGAAGTCATGCAGCTGCTTCCTCAACTTAATGGCCTTTGATGTTGGGAAGTATTCTTTAATGACAGCCTTATGCAGCTGATCCCAAGTCTGAATGTGGTGATGTGGATTGATATCCAACCACTTCTGCGCATCATCCCTCAATGAAAAAGGGAACAGTAGCATCCATACCTGATCATCATCTAGCCCAGGGATTTTGAAAGTTTGGCACATCCTTAGGAATTTTGTAATGTGTGTCATTGGATCTTCTGTAGGGCTCCCTCCAAACTGATTATTGGACACCATGTTAATCACTGCTGGGTTGATCTCATAGCGGGGGTGCAGTAATTCCCTGCACTTGAATGCTGTCATACTCTGTGATGTCCGGAGTGAGGAAATCTGCAATGCTCTCTCCCTGATAGAGCGGATTGCTATATGGGACATAATGTTGGAATGGAGGGGCCTGATGTCTTGGTTGAAGAATTGGTTGTGGTCTAATAGGATGTGGAGGGACTATGTTTGGCAATGCTTGGGGCTGAACGTGGGGCTGATGATATTGTTGAAATTGGTTTTGGAAGGGCTGAGTTTGTGGTTGATGAATGGGTGGATTTTGAGTGACTTGGGGCTGATTTTGTCTTGGCTGAAAGAGTGAATTATTTTGCCCAATACCTTGCATCCCATATGTTTGATTTTGAAAAGTGGTTTCGGGAGCAGTAGAGGTATTTTGGAAGAGTTGATAAAGCGGAGTCATGTTGATTTGGGGTGTGGCCTGATTTTGAGGAAAGAATAGTGTGCGGGAATTCTGAAACCCCGAGTAATTTCTAGGAGAAATAGGCGGTGAAGACTGGGGAGAGGTATTGACATAAAAATCAAGGTTACCAGAAGTGGTTTGAACCTCAGACGTCCCAGCAATTCCAGATGATGTAGGTTCCATGGTTGCGTTCTTCTCACGAAAAACCTTGCGGTTCGGTCTAGCAAACTTCTCAATCTCATGATTAAGAGAGACAAGCGGTTCTCCCTTCTTTGAACGTGTATGCATAAACAGATCTGACCTGCAAGGTTAGCAGACAAAAATCCTACCAAAAACTAAAACAAGTCGCTAAAATTAATTAACCCTTAAATCCGACACCGTCCCCGGCAACGGCGCCAAAAACTGATGTGTGTTTTCTCGCACTTAAAATAGTTGTAGAAAAGTGGTTGAAAGTACGAGTATCGTCTCCACACGGACGGACAAAAGGGAATTAAAGATTAACTAAATTCAGCGATTAAACAGAATAAAATAAATTAAAATGCGATGTGCGAGATTGATTGGTTGAATTAAAATTAAAACTAGTGCTAATGAGCGATAACAATAAAAGATTGGTTTCTTCTTAATTAACGACGAAGGGAACAGGAACTGATTCCGGGGGTAACCAGATTTCTGGCAGATCAGGCCTAATTACATGAATTTAATTTAATTGAGCCTAGCTAATCATTACTAAGTTCTTACCGCTCTCGCGGCGAAGAGTACAATAATTTAGGGGTCCAGGCTGATCTCTCATGCGACAAGATCCTAAGTTATTGCCAAGACGAGCGAGCTTATGGCCCCTTAATAGTTACTGATCTCTTAGCGAACGATTAAGTGTGTGTGAATGTGTCCTAGAACAAATTAGATCTCTCTTAATTCATTCTACATGCAATTGTAATTCTAGCTGCAGTCTAGGTTACAAGAGATATCAGTTAAATTATTCAAACACAAATTAAACGGCATTCATGCAAATAAACCAACAAGAATCTAGCCATACATCATGATTAACCCCTTCATCAACCCCAAATCCCTAATTAAACAACTCACAATTCATAATTGAAGAATCAACAGAATTGGGAAGAATAGAATAAATTGTCATTAATTAAAAAGATGAACTTACAAATAATCTCAGGGTCTTGGAAGAAAATAGCGTAAAAACGATGTTAAATTTGACCCTAGGCCTCTCCGTAATGTTCGTAACGTCAAAATATGGGTATGGGGGTCTTAGTTATAGAAAACAGATGAGTTTGGGCTGAACTGGGACTAAAAAAGGGCTGAAATCCGCGTCTCGGGTGTACGCACGATCGTGCGTACCTTGCCACGCACGATCGTGCGTAGCAGGCAGATTAGTTGCCGCGTTGTTGGCTCTTACGCACGATCGTGCGTCCTTTTACGCACGGTCGTGCGTCCGTGCTCTTCAGCCTTTTTTCTAGTCCGAATTTGACAAAACGTCCTGCATTAAAGTTGTAGATAATGAAGTTCTCTATCCACCCCAACTTTCCGAATGTGATTTGAATCATCCAATCAAGAGATATGACCAAAATGGTGGAAGGTGTCATTCTGAAGTCGCAGCAGAGATCATCTGACTTCATCATCTGTTTTCACCTTGATCCTCTCATATTCTCGGAACGATGTCCTCATATGATTTGTAGCCCTTGTCGTTGGCTTTAATATGAAACTTGAATCGTTTCCTTTGGATGCTTATACAAAGAGATATGCTTGAACGATTGACCAAAGGTCATCCTGATCGTCATTTTCGAGCTTCATTCATCTTCTTTTGATCCCATAGCCAATCCTAGAGCTCTTTTGTCATCAAATCTTCATCGTGAACCTCCCGGTGACCTCCAAATCTCTCAAACCACTCTTGAATGCATCTTGAATCATCCTAATTTCTCCTCAAGCGCCAGTGCTGAACTCTAAATTCCTGATTTTGACTCCAAATGACACAAAACTCGAACCAACGCCTGGTAAACATAACTTGAACTAAAATTGAGACTTGTGACACCTTAAAGATAGGAAAACCATTAAAAACCGATATCAACACGCATCAAATGCGTGTCTAAATATGGACTTATCATGCTACTCTTGCATATATAGATTTGTTACTGTCCAAGCGAAAATTTATTATTGATCGAGTTAATATGCAAATGATCCTCGGTAGGTACATTAATATGATTGTCACGAAGATTCCAAGTGACTAAATCGTTTATTTAATCGATTGCCCAATAAACATGTCGGCGAAGTAGATGTCAACCGTCATAAAAGAACTGAATTTTAATGAAAATGAAAAAACACCGTCCCAATGAATGGAACCATTTCCATTTAAACTGACACAAGAACATAAATCGATCAATCACTACAAAAAACACGGAGTTAGTCACGGATTTTGTCACGGACCGTAGTATAAAAAATCCGTGACTAACTCTGCTAGTCACGGACTTTGTCCGTGACTACATCCGTGACTGTTTTGGCGTGACTAATTCTAGTCACTGACATTTTATCCGTGACTAAGCGTAGTCACGGCTTAGTCACGGACCGTATCCGTGACTAACTTGTCACCGGAATACCGCACCGGCGACTTAGTCACGGCCCTTTTCCGTGACTATATTTAGTCACGGACCAATCCGTGACTAAATATTCAAATTTTAAAAAAGAACCGCCAAAATGTTACGGTTTAAATTTTTAAAATTTAAAATTTAGTCACGGATTAGTACGTGACTACTTTTTCATTTTTTAAAAAAACAAATTTAAATTTGTAAAATAACTTTTAAAAAATCGGTCTAGAATTTAGTCACGGCTCAGATCCGTGACTAACAGTTTTTTATTTAAAAAAAATTGTTTTATAAAAAAATAAATTTATTTTTAAATTTTCTTTAGAAAAGTTTATTTTAAAAAATATTTGTAGAATAAAAGTAATAAACAGACTACTAGAACACACATTTCATAACCAAACAGACTGAAATAAAAGCAATAATAAGCACAATAGAATTATAGTAAATAAACAATGTTCAATTAAAAATGTATATCATTTACAAGCTCCTTCGGCCACCATTATGATAATATCTAGAATCATCATATAGATAATCTTCTTCGGTCTCATCTTCTCGGTTGTCTCCAGCTTGGCCACCGCGACTGCCTCCTCCGCGATTGCCACCTCCGCGACTGCCATCTCCTTGGCTGCCTCCAGATGTTTGAAACAGGTTGTGAAAATTGATATCCTGAATAGAACCAAATGAAGGCAACCCGGGTAGCAGAGTTGGAACGGAAATAACCGCCCATGTGCGGAACTTGAGGAGTCTGCTCGGGGTGCAGTACATACGGCTGAGGCTGATTCCGAATTCCAGTGCTGAGGATCCGTTTCATCGCTTCTATCCGGGCCCTTGTTTCTTCTTCTTTTTTGCGTTGCTCCTCCAAGCAACGCTGCTGCTCATCCAAGGCCCGCTGCTGCTCCTCCATCTCCCGCTGCATTTGAGCGATACGCGGATCCTCTCCACGCCTTGATCGGGAAGATGAAGCGTCGTACAAGATCCATTGCCCCTCAGCCCCCATGCACGGGACCCGGCCCTTGTACACCCCAACTGCCTCAAAGATGGCATCATCCTCCACATCAGAATCAATCTCATCCTCCTGGGTCAAGCCTAATTCTGCCCGCCTCTTCTCAATATTTTTGTTATACTTCGACTGCATGTACAAAAATTGTGAATTTAATGTTACTCAATTCGATTTTGAATGGAAATAAGTAACAAAATAATGTTACTTACTTCGATTTCAGCGAGGCGGGGTGGCAGATCGGCATCGGACTCATCGCTGTGCTTTGTCCAGCAGTGCTTGATGACCTTGAGAATTGAGACCTTCTTCTTCTCAGGCCCCGACTACAGTTTGGAAAAAAGGCTTAAGATCCATAATTAAATGTTAAAATGAAGGGTTGTAATTGTGTAAGGTTTTTTGAAAAATACTTACAAGATCTTCTTTATGTCTACTCTGAGGTTTGCGGCCCCCATGCCATTGGGTTTCTAAGGCCTTCTCGGACATCCGGTTTTTCTTACCGGATTGACTTCTTGCCAAGAAGTTTGGATCAGAAGACCAGTGACGGACGAGGTTAGCCCACACCTCATCCGAACACCATCCATGCTTTACCCCGCTCGATCGGGCACGCCTAAAAGTAGGACGAAGCCAGTTTGAAATCCTAGCGTTATACGCTCTAAGAATAGCGGGACCTTGGGCTTCAGTCCATCGAAACTGACCCTTTATAAAAAACAAATAAATTAATTTATCTTTTATCAAATGTTACGTTAATACAATTACGCAGAGAAAATTCATTTTTTTTACCTTGAAAAGGTTCCACCAAAGTTCACGAACCTTGGGGTCAACTTCCGTGTATGTTGCCCAGTTCCCAAGAAAGTGTCCTCCGATTATGAGTTTGATTCGGTCCAACACTTCTTGATCACTTCAAAAAATTAATATTATTTATTTATAAAAGTTTTGATTACATTATGATACATTGAAAAAATTATTTCACATTAGATAAAATTCATAGGTACTTACTTCGCAACCATGTGGGGCGTCACCCAAAGCGCATTTTCATTGTTGCGCTCAGCTTCGGTTAAGGGCACATAGTTTGGGCGGGTACGCGAAGTTGATTGTTCATTGCTCATCTAAAATATATTAATTTATATTTTTAAATGTTAGTCTACTCATAATAGAAGATCAAATTTTTATACATTTATCAATTGAAAATGTGTTAAACATATTAAACTGCGTGTAAGTTTAACATGAGGGGTGGTAATTTTATAAATTGTTATTAAATGTAACATGTTAAACTTTTAGGCAAGTTTAAATTTTGTTTTATTAAACTGTTTTTTATCAAACTGTTTTTCATTAAACTGTTTAATAAAAAAAACAGTATATTATTAAAGTGTTTTTAATAATCTATATTTTATATTTTATTTCGAAAAACAATTTTTACTGTCTTAATTAATATTTTATAATTAACATGTTAAACTTTTTTGGAAGTTTAACATGAGGGGATATTTTTGCATAAAAACATTTAATATTTTTAAATGTTAGTATGATCATAATAGAAGATCAAATTTTTATACAAGTTTTATCAATTGAAAATGTGTAAAACATATTAACTGTGTGTAAGTTTAATATGAGGGGTGGTAATTTTATAAATTGTTCTTAAATGTAACATGTTAAACTTTTAGGCAAGTTTCCATGAGGGAACATAAGTTTATTTTCGTACATGTTAAAAAATATATTTTTTTGCATTTTTGTACTATTTTTAACTTTTCGTACTATGTTTTATAAAACCGTTTATATACAAAACCGTTTTTATACAAAACTGTTTTTATAAAAAAGTTTTATAAAAACAGTTTTATATAAACAGGTTTACCCAAAATCTGTTTTTTTATTACTTCACTTTTTAATAAAAATTGTTGAATAAAAATCTGTTTTTCATAAAAAGTGAAAAACAGATTGTTTTAAACTTTAAAAATGATTATTATTTCACTTTTTAATAAAAAGTGAAATAATACTTCAACTCATTTGTTTTAAACTATAAAAGCTGTTTACTAAACACTTTTTATTATAATGTGTTTTTCATTAAACTATTTAATAAAAAAAGTTTTTATTAAACGGTTTAAAAATAAGTTATCTATTAAACTGTTTTTATAATCTATGTTTTTATATTAAACTGTTATTATTAAACTATTTTTTAAACTGTTTTTTATTAAATTGTTTTTTATCAAACGGTTTTTTTTTGTAAACTGTTTTTTTGTCAAACTGTATTTCATTAAACTGTTTAATAAAAAACAGTATATTATTAAATGGCGGACGGCAGTGGTCGGCGGCAACCGGCGGCGAACGACGGCAGCGGACGGCGGACGGCGGCGGCGTTGCACTCAGATTGGCGGCAGTGGAAGGAAGAGTTGGAAGAGAAAGAGTTTGAGAGGAAAATAGGGTTTGGGAGGCGTAGGTTTGAAAAAAATCGCTAAGGGTCGGTTTTATATCAGGGCGTAGTCACGGTCTTAGTCACGGATATTATGGTGACTAAACCCTTCGTAATCAACGAAATCAGCCACGCGGCATCAGCCGCCTTTGACCGGTTTAGTCACGGTTTTATCCGTGACTAAGACCGTGTCTAATTCAAATTTTGAATTTAGACACGGTTCTAGTCACTGGTAAAACCGTGACTAGACCGGCGGCCCTGACACCTCTCCGGCTGCCGAACTGACAGGTTAGTCACGGTTAAAGCCGTGACTAAGACCGTGACAACTTGAAATTTTTAGTATAAATCATCTTTCTCCGGCCCAAGACTGGACTGTAAAAAAAATGGCTAATAGAGGTCCAATTGACTGGGATTCGATGTGTAGAGATATGAAATGACTTAAGCTGATTACACAGCTTATGGAGCCGAAAACCGTGGAAGCATACGAGAGAATCAAGGAGTTGATGTCTAGACCCCTTGAAAGTTTTGGCGATTATAAAGATGAAGAATCCGACTCATTGGGCAAGTCAAAAGCAAGAAATTTGTGTCGGATGCTTCAACGTGCACAAGAAGTTTCAGAGTATATGGACCCGATCAACGAAGAAGCTCGAATGAAAATTCAGGAGTTGTGGGCTAGGCCTCTTGAAAGTTTCCGATTGAGAAATGAATAATGTTAGTTAAGTTAATGTGATAAATAAATCTATGTTAGTTGTTTGATAAATAATATGTGACAATTTCATTGTGTGTTTTGTATTTATCTTTGAAATTTGATAAATAAATCTGTGTTAGTTGTTTATTAATATCTAAATTTATTATAATATTCAGATTAGTAAAAGTAAATGACTTTTTTTTAATTTTCGAATTTTGTTAATTTTCGAATCGACTTAGAATTATTAAAATTAATTTTCGAATTTCAAATTATTAAAAATTCTTAAAATAAATTTTCGAATTTAGAAAAATTAAAAATAATTTTTGAATTTTTGAATTTGAAATTACATGGATATAATATAGAGTAATTTCATATTTTGTATTGGGTAAATTTGAATTTTCAAATATAATGATAAAGATAGAAAAAAATTCAAATATTGTTGGAGTAATATAATGATGAATAAATCTGCACAAATATTAGAAGTCAATAAAATTGAAATTACAACAACACAATTATTCGCTATCAGAATCGTCATTTTCTACATATACAGTATCTTCTTATGTATCTGAACCGTCTATCCATTCACCTTCTTCCTGATATTGAGCGTTTTGTTGTGCTACATACATTTCCTCAATTTCGCGCTCAGATGGAATGGTTGGGTCCGGAAGGTGCGTTTCTGGCATGACTTCAACACGTCCTCCATTTGGATCACTTAATTGGACGTCATAGTTGACCGTCTCAACAATAGGCGGAGGTTGGAAAAATTGTTGCTGAAAAGCATCTAGATCAACGTCCTTGTGTTGAGTTTGTGATTTTATTTTGTTCGGACGGATAGGACATGCACGGATGAAACTGTGACTAACCTTTCAAATCTGTACATCCAGCGATAGAAGACAGGCCCAGCAGTCAAAGCCTCATATGGAAGATGTATTATAAGATGTTCCATTGTATCGAAAAATGATGGAGGCATTACTTTTTCCAGATTACACATCAGAATGGGAACAGACTCTTGTAGTCTCCGGAGGGATGCCGCATCCAAAACGCTGGAACATATCGATTAAAACAACAAACTGATTTCAATAATGCAGGACCATACGTGTTCAGGGAGCATCTCTTTCAGTGCATTTGGTAGAAGTCTTTGCATTATTACATGAGCATCGTGAGTTTTCATGCTCGTCGTCGTGGTAAGTTTGTTCATGTCCACGCATCTAGACATGTTGGAGCAGTAGTCATCTGGAAACTTCAGATACGCAAGCCATTTTAATATTGCTACCTTTTGTGGTTCTGTGACCTGGTAGACTGCTTTTGGAACTTCCTTGCCCTGATATTGTAGATCAACAAAAAGTTCGGGTCTATCACACCAAATAGTCATATCTTTCCTAGCTGCAAGACCGTCTTTAGTTTTGCCTTTCAAATCCATCACTGTGTTAAATATATTGTCAAAGACGTTCTTCTCAGTGTGCATGACATCTAAATTGTGACGGATGAGAAGATCTTTCCAATAAGGCAACTCCCAGAATATGTTCCTCTTTGTCCACTTATGGGTATCACAATACTCATATGGCTCTTGGTTTGGCTCTTCCATAGCCGTAGGAAAACGTCGAACCCGGTTATAAATTTTTTCACCGGTCAATCTCGGGGGTGGGCTCTCTCGTACCATTCTGCCTCTAATGAAAGACTTCTTGTCCTTTCGATATCGGTACCTTTCCGGGAGAAACTTGCGGTGACGATCAAAGTAACTTCCTTTTTTGCTGTAACTGAGCCAGTTGGCACCTGATTTCTCCATGCATATCGGACATCCCATCAGACCGTGTGTGCTCTATCCCGAAAGCATGCCATAGGCAGGGAAGTCGCTAATGGTCCAAATGATGGCAGCTTTCATGATAAACATTTTATCTGATGAAACATCATAAGTTGGTGTCCCAACGGCCCACAGTTCTTTCATCTCCTCGATAAGGGGTTGGAGATAAATGTCTATCTTTCGCCCAGGATCCTTGGAACCCGGACAAATTAAAGACAAAAAGATGAAATGACTTTTCATGCACATGTCGGGAGGGAGATTGTAAGGAGTTAACATGACCGGCCAACATGAATAGTTCTTGCCAAACCTGCCAAAAGGAGCAAATCCATCCGAGCACAACCCCAGCCGCACATTTCGTGGCTCCATAGCAAACTGAGGATGACATCGGTCAAAGTGTCTCCAGGCTTCACAGTCCGAAGGGTGAGCCATCATC